GTCTATATTGTAATTTTGAACTGTAACATTTTGATAAAGATTTAAATAAAATAAAAATAATAGTTGCAATGTTTGGAGTTAGTTAAAACATTATTAGCTTTGCAATCAAAGTTTTTTGTATTACTTAAAAGTTTGTCAAGTAATAAGATTGTAATTTATTTGTTAAAAATACTTCATGTTTGCTATATTCATAAAATAAAAAGAAGTTAAGTTTGGATTGTTGCTAGATTTTGTTCTTTTGTTTAAGAAAGTCAATTTAGGATTTTTAAAAAATGTTTTTAAAAAGTTAAAAAGAGTGTTCATAATATTGAAGTTATTTTTCAAAATTGTTGATTTTAACTTTTCATTTCTTTTTTTATTTGTTTTACTTTGTCTAAATAAATATAAGCAGTATCTATATAAGAAAGAATATGATAATTAGTATATTTAATTGCTATATCATAATGTTTCTATAAATTGTTAGGTTTTATAAAGCTTAGTTTGACAGGCATACTTTCTTTAAGATAGAAAATAAATTTTTGTCAAAATTGGTATTTGAGTATATTAAAAACCTTAGTTTCATTTATAGATTTGGTAAATTAGTAATTATATAAAAGAAAAAATTGTTTAAACCACTATTTAAAGTGATCAAATAAATTTTTAAAAGATGGGATATTAAGTTTTTGTAAAAAAATTTTTTAGAAATGTTAAATTTAAGATATATATTAAATTATTTATCAAAGCTGATTGTAAGATATTGTTTTTCTTTATCAAAGTTGACTACTTCAAATAAGATTCTAAACCTTTTAAATTGAAATTAAATATTCTCAGCAAATTTAATATAATTAAAGCTTAGTAGTTGTTTGTAAGATAAATGTGAAGATATATAAGATTAATACAGAATTGTAATAAATTTGGATTTGTATAAGAAGGGATAGTTGCAGATAAAATAAATATTTTTGGATAATTGAGTTTTGTAAAGAATACAATAATGAATATAAGAATTAATTTTTTTAAGATTTCTTTAAGTATATTAAAAGGAATAGTTATAGTTTTGTCAGTATTCAGATTATTTTTTTAAAATAAACTCAATTAGAAATTGAAGTATTTATCCTATTATTTTACAAATTATATAATAGAAGCTAGTTTTAAAAACTGAATAATCACTAATTTTAGATTTAATTTTAGTTCTAGATTTAAAGTTATATAGATATTGTTTAAGAAAATTAAAAATTTTCTTAATAAAGTCTATTTGCAATTGTAATTTATCTTTCATTTCTTCAATTACAAAAAAGTTGGCAAGCCACTCAAATGTTAGATTGGCTTTGGTTTTTTGTTAGTTGTTGTTAGTATTAGGTTGTGTTTGCTGTTATTGTTGTTGTTATTTATCTGGTTATTATTATTGTAATTGTTTATTAAAGTGTAATAATTGTTAGTTATTATTATTAATTGTGTTGTTGTTTAAGTCTATAGTATTTGGATTACTGGTATTACCTACAAGTAATGTTATAAAAGTTGTATGATCAGATTGATTGTTAAAGTTTTTGTATGAATATAAAAAAAAAACTTAATTATTAGATAAATTGTTGAATATCTGTACATGTTTTGTAATAAGGTTTGTTATTGTATAAAATTGTATCTGCTGTTAGATAATATTAATTGTTTATTTTTTTATAGACAATAGGCAAGTTGCATTTAGCATATTAGTGATTGTATATAGTAAATAAAATAATGCTATAAGTGATGATAAAATAAATTTAATAGAATTTGCAATATTATTTGCTAAAGATTTTTTATTTTTAAATTTTTTATTAATAGAAATGATTTTATATTGTTTGTAAATTTGATTAGTAATTGAAATAAAATAAATATAGAACTTGTCATAAAAATATATAACAATAGAACTAGATTTTGATGTTTTAAAATAATAACAAATTTTAGTTTTTTTTCTAAGTTTTGTAGTTAAACAATTACTTGGTTGCTTGTTTGCAGAAATAGGACATAATGTATTTGTTGCAACTTTAAGAATACCAATATCAAAACTTTTAAAACACTTTTAGTAAAATTAATGATATCAAATACAGTTGTTGTCAAGATTAATATTTTGTTCTAAAAATAGATTTTTAAGTATATTTTACAGAAAAATTTATTTAATTTGGAAGTTTCTAAACTAGTTATAAAAAATGTATAAGCTTTAGATAAGCTGATTGAATGTTTAAAAAATTCTAATAAATATCAGAAAAGTGAAATTTCTAAAATAACTTTGCAAATTTTTCTAAAATTCTAATGAAAAAATCTGCAAAGAATAAGTTTTTATTTTTATTTTTTTCTTGTATTTCTATGAGTTTGATTTGTTTTAAATAAATTATATATTAAAATATCTATTTTAATAAATTAAACAACTTTTGAATAGAGTAATTTAGTGTTTTTAAAATCTAAAATACAGTTATCTAGAAAGAGAAAAATGTACTAAATAACTTTACTTAAAGGATCAAATAAGATTTATTTAATAAAAAATTGAGAAATAATTAAATACAGTATTTTTTGTAGTTTTGGTATAAATAATTTATAGAAAAAGTTGCTTTTAAAAAAACTAAAACTTAAAGTTTATTTATTTATTTAAATCAATACTTCTAAGATTTTTTTTTTCTAATTTACTAGATAACTATTTTTAATTTCTTAAGATTAAAGTTTATATAAATTCAAAAAATTATTATTTATTATAAAAAAAAGAAAACATATATATTTTTAACCAAATCAAAATAATTATATAAAAAATAACTAATTAGAATTAAGAGTATGATAACTTAATGAAATAGATAAGTTGTCAACCTCCAAATGGCAGATTGGAAGTTCAAAACTCACTAATAGTAAAAATTTAGATAATCACCTATGTAATATATAGACAATATTATAATAATAGTCTTTTGTTAATTAGTTAAAATAGGATACCTGTAATTATAGTTGCACTAATATAATTAGCAGGTCATGAGGCATTTGTGCAATGTTGAAGTTATATAAAAAAATGCAAACTAGAATCAGATAATGCAAACCCAAGATAAGTCTTTATGATTATATAAATCTATAGAACTGAAAAGCTAAAGTTCATTTGGAAAAACTTGAATAAAAAGATAATATAGATCTTTAATAATACTGATATAAAGACTAAATCTAGAAAATGAATATTAATATAGAAAGAATCAAGCAGGCAAGAACCTTAGATAAGGAGTATCACCAATCAGGCTGCTAAAAGTCTCAAACCAGAAAAAAAGGATCTTAGAAGCCAAAACCTTATAATATCAGAAACAGGTCATAGTTTTTTTGAGCTATCTGGATTAAGAATCTAAGAACTTAAGCAGAATATAACTTAAGTACTAGGAATATGTTATAAAGTTGGTACTAGGTCTGAGTGAACTTTACAAGAATGAACCCTGTTAACAAAAGATTAAATGTGAGTAGTTAGTTAACAGAAAAGCCCTCTAGAGTCTTACAGTTAGGTGACATATTCTGAAATGTGTAACAGCTTGATAGACATACAGATAAGAAGGTCAGAATTAGGTTAGATGACACTTCAGTATATGGGAACTTGTGTGGTTATCTGTCAGATGTAATATAGGGTTACCTTGTACAAGTTATATAATCATAATTAAATCACAATAAAAGCAGTAGTCACTGATAACTAATGACCTTAATGAAAGCAAAAAAAAAACAAACTAATCAGGATTAATTAAATATGCATCAAAAATTGATGCCTATATGTATAAATTAATTGTCTTTTAATGTTCCATACTATATAAATTCCATAATACAAATAACCTAAACTCTCAATATAAATATAATGAAAAACAGTTTATATATATATAAATCTTTTTAATATAGTAAGTTTGCTCAAAATTTATTAATGAACTTTGATTATAGAATTATTTTAAAATTAAAAATCTGAAATTAAAATTTGAAGATGAAAATTGGTTTGATCTAATTTTACTTAAAAGATGAAATTTTTAATATTTTTTTTGAATAGATAAAATTATAAACATAATTATATAAATTTTATTTGTTATTCCTTATAAAAAATTTTAAATAGCTTTAATGAAAACAGAATAGATCTTTTTCAAAAATCAATTTCGTTTACATCTATACTCTTGATGTAGTGAAAAAAAAACTTTATTGTTTTCTGCCTAATCATTTCACTATAACGAAACTCGGATACGTATCACTTCACCGATACTCATTTTGTAGACAATTATCTCACCAACAGTTTATTTCACCGAAGTTCATTTCATATTCAAGCTTTTTTTTTTATAAATTTCACTTTCTTAACTCTTTCTAACCTGACCTTAATGACAATGATCAGAATTATTTTGTCGGTGAAATGAGTTTCAGTGAAATAAATGGTCGGTAAAATGAACTTGTCAATAAAATAAGTGTCGGTGAAATAAACATGTTAGTGAATTGTTGTCGATAAAATGTTATGTCTACGAAACGAGTGTCGGTGAAATGAGTTGAATCACACAAACGGTAGGTTTAAAATTTTCCATAGAATTATCTTTGTATAAATGCTTTACGCTTATTCATTGTAACCAAAGTTCACAAATAATAAAAATATCCAATTTTATGTATTCCATTAGGATTATACATCTCTCCTGATTTTCGATAGGGGATGAATGCTTTGTTCTTATTCTTTTTAACTAATTTCAAACCAATTATTTGAATAATTTCATCTGATAAGTTTGGGACTTTTAGACAAAAAATTGTGTAAGTAGGCACCAAAAGTAATGTCTGACATAATGATAGATGTACTCGTAAGAATTCACAATATGATTTGTTAATAGAGATCCAGCTTACTCTCGATACAGTTTAAGTAGACGTTGATCAAAACCGTAAAAATGATTTTTTGACACAGTTACACATACATATATATTATTTGTGTAAATTAGATCGATCAAAAATTGATCGATTCGTTGCATATATAGCAATGGATACTCTGAAGATCAAAAGACTGAACTTTCTAAGTTTCAAAAATGTCTTCACGCCAAAGAAAATCAGTAAATACAGAGGCCAAAGAAACTAAGAATGAGTTGGCACCAAATTTAAAAGCACAAATAGGGAAAACTTGGGGTCGTGATAGAGGTACGTAGGTATTAATAATGTTAATTTATTGAATTTTCGATGACTATATAAATTTTCTATCACATCTTTATAGATATTTCCTACATTACCGTGTTATTTTCCACACTTATTCTTTGTTGCTGTCCTTTATTGGTGATTGTCTTTTGGGTGAATTGCACCCATTATCAATGTTCACTATATGAACCTATCTATCTACTTCAATTGAGAGGATTTTCAAAAGAAGCTTTTGACTCTGTAGTATTACAAAAACTTCCTCAGTTTGCTTGGGATGGATTAAAAATATATGTATCATGGTTAAGTTTTCAGGCAATTCTTTACGCAGTATTGCCAGCAAAAATAGGATATGGTCAGCAGACACCCGCGGGATATATTCTACCCTATAAAGTATATAACAAACGTTTTGAGAAAATCTTTTCATACGAATAAAATTAATATATATATTTACTTTTTCTTTTTTTTTTTTTTTTAGGTAAACGGGTTACTAGCTTGGTTTATTACTCATATTCTTTTCCTTGTAGGCGCATTCTATTTCAATTGGTGGGATGCATCTATAGTCCATGATAATTGGGGCTCTCTTCTCATTGCAGCCAATATCTATGGATATTTTCTTACATTCTTTTCATATGCAAAGGCATATATTATGCCTTCACATCCAGAAGATCGTAAATTTTCAGGAAGTTTCATTTATGATTTATTGATGGGTATTGAAATGAATCCACGTTTTGGGAAATATTGGGATTTTAAATTATTTCATAATGGAAGACCTGGAATTATTGCTTGGACCTTAATAAATTTGTCATTTGCCGCTGCTCAATATAATCAAATTGGTGAATATATTGTAATTGATTAAATTGTTTATTTGTTTATGATATAAGTACATTATTTAACATTTCTATTTTATTGAAGGATATGTAACAAATTCTATGATTTTGTTAAACTTTTTGCATGCTGTTTATGTATTGGATTTCTTTTACAATGAAGATTGGTATCTAAGAACAATAGGTAATTAATATTTATTTTATATGATGCGATTATTTAAATAACTGACATTTCATTAATATTTAGATATTGCACACGATCATTTTGGATTTTATTTGGCGTGGGGTGATACTGTTTGGCTTCCTTGGATGGTAACCTTTTCTTCATTTTTTTTTTTAAAATCGCAATTCGCCAATTTAATTACTAATATATATATATATATAATTTTTACATAGTATACTGTCCAGTCCCATTACTTGGTTCGCAACACTATTGATCTTTCTACTCCTTATTTTCTATTTGTGCTCGCAGTTGGGTTGTCTGGGTATTATATTTTTCGAGCAGTTAATCACCAAAAAGATGTTGCTCGTCGGATGAATGGTGAATGTATTATATGGGGAAAACCTGCACGATATATCAGAACACATTTTGTTACGAGTGATGGAAAAGAACATAATAGTATTTTGCTAACTAGTGGTTTTTGGGGTATTTGATTTTATAATAATAATATATTATTATTGTTATTATTATTATTTATTTGTGTGAATTAATGCCTTTATATATTTTTTATTATAGGTATATCACGTCATTTCAACTATGTTGGTGACTTGCTTATTTCATCAGCAATGTGCTTAGCTTGTGGGTTTAATCATTTGTTGCCATATTTTTATATCATTTATATGTTTATACTTTTAATTCATCGTATTTACCGGGATGATGCACGATGCCGAGGAAAGTATGGAAAGTATTGGGATAATTATTGTCAAGTTGTCAAATGGAAATTACTTCCAGTAAGTAATGTTGTTTTGCTTTCGATTTATATATGTGTTTATACATTTCTAACCTTTTATTCATCTATTTATTGTGTAGTATGTTTTTTAAACACGTAAACTTCTGGCTTCGTATTTAGAGTGTGTACATTTTTACAGAGCTTGAATTATATTGTTTTATAATTCTCGATCACTATATCAAGATCACGATCACAAGAAATTATTTAACATGATACATTGATGCTGAAATGTTTGGCAAAATCATACATAACTTGTGGTTTTTTTTTAAATACTTTATTTAGGTTAGGATTAGTAAAGAATTTATATGGGTTTTAAGGTTAAAAGAAATCTTCAAAGCTCATATTAATATGCTACAAAATAGTTCTTTTTAAATAGAAATTTTCTATAATTTTATAAGAACTTTTTTTTTTGTTAGGTGAAAAGTTAATTTTTATGGTTACTTTACGATTAAAGCATCAAAAAAGCAATTTGTTTTGATTTCATTATATATGATACCTATATTGTGGTGACTTTTTACAGTGACAACGTACAAAATATGTCTATAATACTATATATGCTTAGGACTAAAAAGATCTTGCTTGTATTTGGGAAATTTTTACCAGAACTGAGCCAGTGGCACGAATCAAAAATCGATTAATCGACAAACTAATCGATTTAAACCTATCATTATAAAGTTTAGAAAAAACCTTTTTTAACCAATTAAATTATTATAAATAAATCATGTGATTAAACGTTAACCAACAAAAATGTGTCAACTAATTGCAATTAATTAACAAAAGTTAGACCAACTAATCAATTAGAAAAATTTTTGCAGATTCAGATCACCAAACTGGGCTTAGAAGTCGCGTACTTAGAAGACACACTGCAAACTGTCTTATATAAACTTTACCCTTTTTTCTTAATTCGTTTTTTTTTTTTTACATGATCTCTAGTAACGGTTAATTATAATGATAAAATATCTAATTTTTCAACCGAAACTAATTGGGTAGCGATGTTAGGCGAGTGGAATGTAAATGTAAGTTACAATGGTAAGGTGAAGAGCAATGGATTAAGGTAGCTCGCCGGAAGCGTGCCCTATGGTGATTTAGGTCTTGTAATAAGTTGCTATCGTGTTAAGTTTACTATAACTATTCTTACGTGCTCCTTCCTCGTATATAAGTGTTGTAATCAACCATTCTCCCTTTAAATATTTTCTTGGTTATATACAAAAGGGCATTGATCGCACTTTCTTAATGCTTTTACCTGATGCTTCATTTAAAATTTCAACACACTGCCATGCATATCTTTCATTGAGATCGTTTTTTAGCTTCGCAGCCTCATGCGTCATAACCGAAAATTCAAAGCCTTGGCGGTTTAATTCTTTAATTGCGAGAGTTTATGATGCAGTTTCATCTCATCCTCATTATTATCCTACCAACCTGTTTCTTGAATAAGGCCGGGGTACATTCGTAATGTACAGTACAATTTTGATTGTTTAATATAAACTACCAGCACTATGTAAATAGTATTTTTTATTATTTAATCTTTTTAAAGAAAGCATATTCCTTTAGATAGCATAGAATAGTTAAAACAAAGAACAACTTTAAAGTTTTTAAAAAATAATTGCTGCTAACTCGACACGTGACAATTTTTACAATTTTGATTGACGGACGAATAATAAGATTTAATACATTCAAAAAACTTTAAAAAAATATTATTCCAAACATTTATCTACTAAATTAACACTCGTTATCATATATACTGTACTTTCGTTTATACACATTCTTATGACGCAAGTTAGTAGTCACGTTAAAATCCTTAGTAATAGAGGTGAGAAATTCAGTTTAAGTTGTGAACAACAGAAATGAAAAGGGCGGTCTGTAATACTATGATATCAAAATGCTTTATTATGCCTATTTTATTCAGAATTAATAAAGTGCTAACTAATCTTTTTATCTCGTGTTTACACAACTCAGTTAATGCGGTAATATGAAAAATGGTCTTTTCAGCTTCTACACAATATGACTATTTGATAACTTACAAGAAGTAATGAAGCTGATTTTTTTCATATTTATAAATATACATTATTAAATTATATTATAGTAATAGATAGTACGTATCCACCTATTAATGACGCGTAACGTTCAATATTCCATTTCTCAAATTCTTATCAGACTACTAGTCAAAATGCTACACACAACTATAGTAGTTACACTCATAAACTTTCTCAATCTAATAGCGTCGCTAAGTATAGGTGGTAATTTTTCATTTTTTTCGGGTAAAAACAAAGTTTTATTTTCTTTATCCGGAGTTTTCCAAATAGTCAAAGGTCCAACAACACCAAATACAGTTTCCATTGCATTATTTACCATATCATTTGATTCGACTCGAATATAAAATAGTGATATATTCTTAATCTTTTCACCCAAATTTATGTTACCTATTCCATAATCATTGCTATCTGAATTTTCTAGTAGTGGAACAGTCCAAAGATAAGAATTCGTTTGAACATTTGATGCAATAGGAATAGACCATTTAGAAGTGACCTTTGGAGCGTTCTCATTTCCAGACGATTTTGGATCATTATGCAATGTTATTACAAAGTTTGTCGGTGGAGCAACTAAATTACAATAACTTTTAATTAATTCATCATCGGAAGACGCTAAAGATTGAGGACTAAGAATAGTCCAACTTATGTAAATCTTATAAAATGGAAATAATACAGTGTTCGCTGGTGGTGTTTGAATTTCTATACAGTATTTATCGCTTGATGACCATGGAGTATGAATGTCAAATGGCTCGTCGTTTTTCATTAATTTTTTTAGATTTTTAGGAGTAAAACGAGATGTGTCCATTAGACCATTATCGTGTTTTCCAATACTTAATTGAGAAAAAAATATTAATACGAAGATTAGTGTTGACTTAAATTTCTTCATTCTGCATAAAATATAAGGAAGAGATGGTTTATTTGCGAGCTATAATAAAGGAAATTGAAGATAATTATTATTGATGGTAAATGAATCAATTCATCAGAGATAAATCATATGAATCATTGATTTCAATTTTTCAGAAGATTTGAAATTTGAGTTACAGTCATTATGGTTATTTAAGATTAGAAGTATCCATTGGAAAAGAATATTCATTAATAAAATCATGTCAACTGATAAGACTTGGGAAGTCGATAGACCTTTTTGCACCATAAATGTATAAAACTTTATTAATTTGCATTTGAAAAGTTTAAGAAATTGCAAAGTATATATCATAAATTAAGTTGCTATAATAGCCGAATGTATAAGTTCCAACACTGTAAAGTTATTTTTAAAGTAATGCTAAAGTCTTTTTTTAAAATTATATTACTATATACAAAACTCTGCCTATAACAAGCAAAGATTCAAAGTAGCTTGTATTTATTAGTCTTGTGTAATGGCTCACTTTAACATTTCTTTTAATCGGATATTCGTTCTCACTGTACAGTTGCCTCCGAAAGTTTGTCACGGTTACGCAAAAAAACATAATAAAAAAAACATAAAAATTTATGCAATCAACGATATTAATATATTTCGTAAATTAATATAATATTAATGCATAATAATCTTACGTACTTGATCGATATACAGCAAATTAAACATCAATAGCTAATAACTACGTACAACCATAACCATTATTGAATAATTTTTTATGTATTTGCGTAACCGTGACAAACTTTCGGAGGCAACTGTACGTATCATAATCCCTGCTTTTTGTTAGTTCAATTCTTTTTTAAGTGGATATTCTTTCACATTGTACGTATCATAATCACTGCTTTTGTTAGTTCAATTCTTTGGTAAATATTTGTATTCATGGTTTGATTCTTGGTATTCACCTTTTCGGAATTTATAAAGTAGTAAATTCCTTTACAGTAACGGTAATATTCGCAATACATGTCTGCTTTTTTTTATTTAGGCTTCCAATTTCTAATCTATTTGCTTCTATTTGTTTCTAATTTTATTTATTCTTATTACATTTACAAGTTTCGGGACATTCCAGCCAATGTCTTCCAGTAAATATTTGCTTTTCGTTGTCCTTAGTGTTTAAAATTCATAACAAAACTTATTTGAACAGTTGCAAGTAAACTTTTTTTTTGCACAAAATGTTTTTATAAAAAACAAATATCAAGCAATATATTCATATATATTTGGTGCAGATTTTTTTCTAAAAATTTACTTGTACATTTGCATAAATTTTTTATACATTAAAAAAAACTCTCGGTGAATTGTTGCTGCGAATTAGTTAAGGTTTATTGTCTTTGCGTTATCATTATTTTATGCATTAGTGTTAAAGTAGAGTTTGGAACCGGGGTTATTTATTTTTTTATATGTTAAAGCTGATTAACCGGTTTTAACGTATGAAAAATAAACCGATTCTAAACTCTAGTTAATGTATGACAAATTGTCACTACAGTAAATGCTAACGCCAAGTGTACGTAGGATAAAAAATCTTAAGAATCTTAACTCCAAGTGTAGGACAAAAAATCTTAAGAATCTTAAGAATCTGAAAATTTTGTCAAATTTGTCATACATGAACTTTTCCACGTACGTATGTTTATACGTACGAATATAGTTTTCAACTTTACTGTTACATTAAGACCTGCCACGTATAGTGGGTAAATTCCATATACTGTGTTCCATCTTACTGTGATCCATTTGCCAAAGTACGTACAGTGTTAAAAGTTAGGCACAAATATGCTGTGTAAAAAAATTTTTTGTATACATAAATAGTTATTGTATTTTTTGTACAATTGCACAACTCATTATTAATTTCGTGTAATAACAATACATGCACTCTAGGACCATGATCATAAGAATTAATAATTCAATTGAGTACTCTTATGTTAAGAAAATTTTGAACTGCAGACCAAAAAAAATATATATCTGTAATATCTCAAAAATTCTTTATATATCTAACATTAATAGTAAAATTTCATTCTGAAGCTTTTACTTTTAGTAAATTTTTGTTTCGTTATACAAGATCTTATAATTTTATTAGATTCAGTTATGGTCCGAAGTGATCTCATTCAACCTGGGATTTTCTTGACATAATGATAAAGGTCTATGGGATAACTTTCTTATGATTGGTTAATTACATGAAATTCAATGATGATTTATAATTGGCTAAATATTTGAACATGTAATAATTAACCAATAAATTTTAAAAATTGCATTTATTATTAGTAATATAGATGCTGATGAAGCTAAATAATGCAGGTAAAACTGGTAGCTATCTTACATCTGATTGGTTGCTATATTAAATTCACCAATTTTAGTAGTTTCACCACCATTTATCAAGAATTTCACCAGTTTCACCAGCATTTATAATTAGTAAAGCTTCAACCAATTTTTTTTTTATTCAAATATTCTTTGGACTTTAAAATTTCTCATATTAATATAACGAAATGTCACTATTCTGAAATGTCACAGTTCTTGTCTTTAAAAAGCTTATTTAACTATTTTTAATAACACTCTAGTATAATATTGATAAGATGTATATAGATCTCTGTTTCTTTAATCTCATATTTAACTTTTAGACAACGCATTACAGCTATTAGCATCGCTTATTTGTACTTCTATATATTGAAAATTTAATTAATCTTCGTTGAATAATAAAAAAGTACAGCAGTAAAGAAGCACAGAACCATGCGATTTCGCAATGAATAATGTGTTTATTACCTTGTTACTATTTTTCTAAGTTGAAAAACTGTCTCTAAGTGATGTATACCTAGGCAAGGTAATCCCAGAGATACCCAAGATACTTAGAGTTTTGTTCGTGAAGTATCTTCTATATTATTATAACGATGGTTACATTTTTTAAAAAAATATTTATTATGTTGAGACGTAAACTTACACTAAACTGTATACGTAACTCAAGTTATTCTAGTCAACAAATGGTTCCATATTTGGGACGTATTAACTAGGGCTGTAAACCAAACTATTTGGGACGACCCAAACTATGTGACAATTAGTTTCACATGGGTTTGACAATAAGTAAAAAGTTGTAAATACCTAGTGCGATACTAATTGTCATTTGGTTTGGGCCATCCCAAATAGTTTTACAGCCCTAGTATTAATAGCTTTCATTTATAAAAAAAAGGTAGGAGATAATTATTTATGATTATCATCAACTCATTCTGCTAATAATTTCCCATGACTTTCCTAAAAATTCCTAATAATGGAATGATGGACATCAATAAGTCCTTTAAATCTTCCGATATATTTAATCCTGAAAATTCACGAAATTCTTCTTCGACTTTTTATTCAGAGAGTCCTATCATTTCCGTAGGTCCTTATGGAACTTTTCATGATTATGGTTCCTTCGTAGAATGCTTTTGCGATCAATGTAATGGTTGTCGTGTTCCGCTTTACACTTGTAAAGGCGAAAATTGTAAAATTAAATGTCCACCTCATACTAGAAAATGTTCTGAATGTGCCGATCACAATTATTTGGCTAAGCATAGAATTAATCGAAAGTATTACACTAGTCGGAAATCCCGTTTAAATTCGGAGAATTCTATTTCTTTCAAAGGGTCTTTAATAAATAAATCAACTGATTCCATAAATGATGTGAATTTGTCAGAAATTCCTGATCAGTAATTTCTTATTATATATCTCGTGGATTATTCGTGCAAAGTATCTGTTAACTTTCTGTTAACTTTCTCGAATACATTTTTTGGTGGTACCTTTGTTCGATATTTGTAAATTTTGTGTAACAACAGCTAACCTTTTATAGACGATCGTTATGACCAATTGATAAATTAAATTAGATGATCTACATCTGTATGTGTATGTTGCAGGCAGTGGAGAATACGTACTACGTAGGATAATCAAAGCAAATTTTTATTTTATATTATCGATAATATTATATTTATAACTGTTTGCGTCATTTCTTTTTACGTCAACGGTAAACATTTTATCCATTTGCAGTATAATAAATTTTAATGTCTTGTGCAATATAAAGATTATATGAAAACTAAGAAAATTTTTCATACAAAATAAGTACTAGTGAAACGATGGCGTTTCGTAGGTTGGAGCCTTACTTCTTAGGTTTTTAAATTGAAAAATCAAACTTTTAGCACAATAAATTTATATTAACACATGCGTGAAAAGACATAAGTTCCAATTTAGTAATTTATAAATAAAGTAATCACTGCTATTCATCTAATCGTTGCTGTAAACGTGCACTTTTCCTCAATTTTGTAATCTATTATATGAGAAAGTACTATTGAAAAGAAGATCAGAAAGAGCACGGACTTGTAATATAGCTACGAATGTAAGACCTATGGCAAATTCCTTACGTATGACCAATGTCTAATCCCTGCGATTTGTGAATCGTAATTCCCAAGTAAGGCATAATGGAAATGAATATGAGAACAAGTTCCTAATTTTCCTTCCCACGTATACTTAATTGCACGAATCGGTACCACTTGTACGTAACCATTTGATGTAGATAGTGTTGAGCCTGTATAATTATCCATTTCGGGCAATATTAATGTAGGTAATAATGCGGGTAGCACCTCATATATAATACAATGTTAGGAAAACTCTTTACAAGTTGAAAATTGAATTTAAGTGCGGAAACTGCGTTACGAAATTTTTTAATAGATCACGATCCTTATCTGAAAGCTGGTATGTAGGTGATAGTGATAAGACATTTGGACTTGCTAAAAATCCTTAATTAATAAGTGTTTGTATATTGACAATTGGATTTCTTAACTATATAATTTAATATTCCATTTTTTTCAATAACGATAATATTACTTCTACGTTGCGCCGATCTAGTCTTTTTGTTGATTTGTTATTTCGATCGATAACTTAATTGTTTTTCAGGAGACATTAAAGTAGCTTTTTGTTCAGATACATTTTAGAAGTCTTTAATAAATTATTAATAATCAGATAATTCATATGGGCTAGGTGCTGAAGAAAGGGACCAAATTGACAAAAATTGATTTGATTTTTATATTATAAAATCTATATTAACTCATAGGAAACTATAGATTTCAAAGATTATACTGTAAAAATTTTATTAATGCAACAGTATTTCTTTCTCAAGTAAAAAATGTTCCTGAGCTAATTTTAAATTAGTTAAGCTTAAAAAATTCATTTTGAAAAATTATCAATTTAGTCCCTTTTTCCAGCACTAGTCCATATAGTTTAGTCAAAGTTTACTTTATCGTTAGTGATTAAACTTAAATTCCTATGGGGTTATACAATTCAAAATTTATCATCATTACGGGGGTAGAAGCCGGACATCACCAGAAATTAGTAGAGTATGAAAAAGGACTTTCATTCCTCTCCAGCCCAATCAAAAAATGATTTAAACAACGATTTGAACGATATAAAAGTATAATATTAAAGCAGTTTTAATGAAGTTTTTTATTTTGCGGTTTTGTGAATATAATGACTATATGATAATTTAATGAAGTAATTTCTGTAAACATTTTGACATTCTATATTTTTTATGCGAAACCTCAAAACACTATAAGTTATTTAATGCATCCCGATATTAAAGTGCACAAATAATTTCCGTAACTTTAAAATTTTTTCGGACTAAGTTCTGTATTGAATTTTTTAAGAATGAAAATTTAGACGCCATATTAACATCCATTTTCACATCTTTCGCATAATAAACTAAAGCGCTGAATTATTCTTTTATTTTCCCTTACTATTCACCCTTACAATTGCGTTATGTCAGTAATGATGCTTCTTTGGAATGCGCATTAGGTCACGTTGTCCAATCGGAGATTAGATTTTGTGGATTAACATCATTTATTCTTTGATAAGCCATATACTTCGTGATTTCTCCTGGTATGAAGAAGAAAAATCGAAAATTTTCAAAAAATCGTCGGTAACCTGTAATTTTACCAACGAAACCACCTTTCGTTTCTTAATAAAAAAAAATTCCTTGCAAAAATTTAATAGCACCTATATTTTATTCAATATGTTTTATAGCTTTAATATAGTTTTTACCGTATTTTTGTTTTTCGTATGATCGGCTGTTTAAATCAATTTAATTTTACATTATTTATACAGTACTTTTTAAAAAGTAGGACTTTACTATTAAAAATAATCAAAATCCTTTTTTGTTTTAAAGAAGTTAACATGGTAATAACCTAATTCTATCTATGTTAACTTCTCTAAAACCTGAAATGATTTTGATTATTTTTAATGGTTGAGTCCTACAACCCTAATAAAACTTTTTATATATTTCTTTTTTGTTTATTTTTTATAGTTTTACTTTTTTTAAAAAAGTACTTTAAACTGTATAAATAATGTAAAATCAAATTGATTTAAATAGCCAATTATATAAAAGTCTTTTTATAGTCTATAGTTACAATAGATTATGAATTTATTTTGTCAACAATAAAAATAATTATGATTGTTAAAATTATTTTTGGTATTTAGGTATTTTGAAAAGGTTGTTTAAAGAATGTGGGTCCCATAGCTTAGCAGTTAAGCTCCCATATCCTTCACAGTCAAGGTCAACAATTAAAGTTTGACTGGAGGCAAAATTGAAAGATTTTAGCTTCTGTAACCTAATAAGGAGCCTATAATTGAATGCAAAGTTCTGTGGTTAAGTTCAAGTGCAGTACAATGATGGAAATAGAAATTCTCGAAAGGAGACCTAATCATGGAGTGCAGCCATTATGTATAACAAGCAGTTGTTATAGAAGGTTATAGTTATAGAAAGATTGTGCATGTAAGTCCTTTAGGCTAGGGTAACACCAACATTCTTATACCTTCCAATATAGGCAGTACCAACATCCTTGCACCCAACTTGTGAAGTACTTGCTTGAAAGGATAATCAATAGATTGTGCAAATAAGTCTTAATTGGGATCCAAGGAGAGGATTTGATTGGGAGAATAGTTTGACAAGTAATCAAAACTGAAATGGTAAGAGAAGCAGTAAACATAAAGATAGACTGTGATAAAGGATTGGTCTAATTAAAATTAGAAGCATCTCTGGCATAGTTGAATAATCTAATTATAGAAGAAAAGATTTTGGAGGTAGGCATATAACTTTTTTGTGCAATGTAAAAGTATCAAATCAGGTTCTGGTCATACCTATATAGAAGTTTATGACGAACAAGACTAAAAATCAACCAACCAATGTAAGATAAGATCTGCAAGGTAGTATGACATCACTGGAGTTAGTGTAACTCACTGGACATAACCAGAATTGTCTTACAGGTATTGTCGAATAAGCTGAGAACTTGCAATACATGGTAGTATAATATCACTAGGATCAGAAAAACTCCCTAGATATAACCAGAATTGTCCTGTTTGTAAGTGCAACAATTCCCAGTCTCTACTATAAAAATAAGCACCATGTTAAAGGTTAAATGCAGCATCAAGTTACTGTATAATATTAAGACCTGAGGTATCTGCAGGAACAGTAGTAACAAGTTTGGCTTAAGATATGAATTGGTCAAAAGACCAATGACAGCAGCAAATCTGGTTTGAAATACGGATTTATTGTAGATCCTGGATTATTGTCAGAACATCTTAGAGGAATCAATAACAGGCAAACCAAAGATGGGAAGATCATAAGGATCAGACATACCTGAGCAGAATCAATTTGGAAGTGATACAGTAATGAAAAGGTGGGAAATATGGGAAACAAGATAATACTAGATATAGTTAGATTAGGAGACAGAAGAAATAAGACTAAATAAAACATATGAATGGGACATATAGGTACAATTTATAGAAGACAGTACCTCTGACATTTGGAATGCCGCATTAAGTTCAGTAGATATCCTTGTCTGTGTAGCAGTTTAATGTATACCATGACCACAAGTAGTTGTCAAGGTAACTGCATGCAGCAGACATGCACTTAGGTGCCATAAGGGTAACCGAGTGAAGTCAGTAGTGTTAAATTAGATAGTATATAGTACTAATAATAATCGATCCTAAAATATAACCATAAATTTGTATTATATCAAATTAAAGCTAATAAAAACTAACTGGTATTGTCACCAAAGTTCAAAAAAAAAAAAAAAAAAAACTTGTTTAAAATATAAGAATACTGTAATGTTATAAATCATTCTGAATTTAAATACATATATATTTATAATTATTTAAAAATAATAATAAATTATTTTTTATTGATTTAAAAATTTTTTTTTTTGCTTTTGTTAAGATCATTTGTTATTAGTAGTTACTGCCTTTATTGTAATTTTAATTATGGTTATATAACTTGTACAAAATGAGTGTACAATTAGTCATATATACAGTTTTTGATTATTTATTTAAATAATTTGTTCACAGATTTCATACTAGTTATACTTGTAATTTGCTAAAAAATTATCTAATTAAATATTCTGATTTCTATACTATATCTGACAGATAGCAAACTAAATTTTTGTATATCTAAGTATTATCTAATCTAATATTGATCTTTCTATCTATATGTCTGTTAAGCTATTACACATTTTAGAATATGTTACTTGATTGTAGAGCTTCAAGAAGTCTTCTTATAACTAACTACCTACATTTAGTTTTTACTAACAAAATTTATTTTTGCAGAATTCATCCAGACCTCAGTACCTATTTCATAACATATTTCTAGTATTTATAGTATACTTTTGTTTTTG